ATTTGAAGTTCCAGTCGTGTCTGACAACAGAATATGCTGGGGATTGTTTTTGGATGAGAGCATTTTCTTTTCTTGATTTTTTTTTTCTTGAAACCCTCCCAAACAACATGTGGTGGTGTAGGTGCTGTTTGTTTGTTTTTTTTGTAAGGTTTTCTCCAGCTGTGGTCCTTGGAGAGTCTTTAGCCACTCAAACTCTCCTCCTCACCGTGCATTAGGACGATATAGACACACGTCCTGTTCCAGGCAGATTTGTAACATTTTCTGTTGATTGGAAATGCCTAATTATTGCCCTGACGGTGGAAATGGGAATTTTCACTGCTCTAGCTCTTTTCTTAAAGCCACTTTCTAATTTGTGAAGCTCAATTATCTTTTGCTGCACATCAGAACTATACTCTTTGGTTTTTCTCATGTGATGGATGATTAAGGGAATTTGGCCTTTGTTTTCCCTCCTATTTATATTCCTGTGAAACAGGAAGCCATGGCTGGATAATTTCATGTTCATAATCACCCTGGTATGCTCAAAATTGGAATATACTTCACAGTTATTTTACTCATAAGAATTTCTAGGGGTGCCAATAATTGTGTCCAACGTGTATTTGAGAAAAACATTTATTTCATAATGAGATTTTCCCCCTATTTTAAATTCTCATTATCCAATGAAAGGTTAGATATTTGTGATTTTTTTTAAATAAAAGATCAAAATGATTACCAATGCAGATTTATTTTAGTAATACATAATAATATTGAAATAATATTCTCATTGATGCACTCTCTTGTGCAAAAGGCACAAAAGCTGTCACAGGGATGTTTCCTTTTTTTTTTTAAAGTACACTTTTGTACTTTATTTAGCCCTAAGAGATGCATATTAGACTTAGTACCTAAAGTTTACATATTTGTACCCAAATAGTACATTTTGAAAGGTTGCCGCCCCAGTGACAGCTTTTGCCCCTTTTTTTCTGAGAGTGCAAAGGAGTGTTTGATCAAAAAATATAACAAAATAGCATCAGAAATGCAGCTGTATTTGTATAATTTCATATCAGGCACATCTGGAAGATATGATTTAGAAGCAGAAACAGTGCATCGTAACCTGTATCGTCTTACTATATTATTTCTTACAGTAACGCAAGTCATAACACTGTAATTTAAAGCTTTAAGTGTTATGTCAGGTGATAACCTTTGTGACCTAGACTTTTAATATGCCTAGATGGAGCCACTGAAACTCTTGATCTAATTTTCAGTCATATCTACTTTATAATAATACGTTTTATAACAATAGTAATACATAATAATATTGAAATAATATTCTCATTGATGCACTCTCTTGTGCAAAAGGCACAAAAGCTGTCACAGGGATGTTTCCTTTTTTTTTTTAAAGTACACTTTTGTACTTTATTTAGCCCTAAGAGATACATATTAGACTTAGTACCTAAAGTTGACATATTTGTACCCAAATAGTACATTTTGAAAGGTTGCCGCCCCAGTGACAGCTTTTGCCCCTTTTTTCCTGAGAGTGCAAAGGAGTGTTTGATCAAAAAATATAACAAAATAGCATCAGAAATGCAGCTGTATTTGTATAATTTCATATCAGGCACATCTGGAAGATATGATTTAGAAGCAGAAACAGTGCATCGTAACCTGTATCATTCACAGCCTTCTTTGATCATATTTACCAAGGGTGCCAATAATTCTGGCCACGACTGTATATATATATATATATATAATAATAATAATAAAGGAAAACCAAATTCATCATCAAAAGAAAAAAAACAAGAAGAAAAAAAAGATAAATATATATCATATAATAAAAAATACAAAACTAATTATTATAAAGATTACCAAAAATAAAAACAGATAAACAAAATAACAATACAAACATAACAAATATAAAATATATATATAATATAATATATATATAAATCGATTATAATTAAAATAGAATTAAAATTATTAAAAAATATTTTTATACAGTATACAGTGTCACCAAGATTTTTCCACAAAGATATATAAAGCTTTAAAATAATGTTTCTCGTGTCTCTAAAAGTGACAAAAATCTTTTGTTTGCTTGGTCTCGAGAGGATAAAGGTGTTGGGGTTATTTCTGACATCATGCTTTTGTCTTAAACAGAAACCCGAGCCTGTGTGAGCTCAGCGCTGATGGCAGGGGTTATTCTTCAGCCGGACGCTGCCGCAGGAGCTCAACCTGGAGGCAGAGCGAAAACTGGACCATTACATCATTGCTATGCGATAGAACGATGCCCCGCCCCCATGTTCCATTGGCGGAGCGACCTGGTCTCACAATCCCATTGGTTAATGACAGCATAACGGGAAGCAGCGAGGGGCGTGGCCTCGGCGTGGAAGGGCGCTTCAAATACACTGTAAAAGATGCATAAGATGCTGATGCTGATGCTGGTGATGCGAGAATAATTTCACTCCGGAGGCAAGCTTTCGAACGGACCGAGATTGCGATGATGGACTTCACATTTAGGATAAAATAAGCAAACGCAAAATCGAATCAACCGCCTAGAGCAGAAGCGAACATTTAACGTTACTCAAATTGCAACCTAATAGTAGAGAAATAGATGAGAGTGAGACCCTGGATCGGATCCATCCTACAATCGCTGGAGGTAAGGGCGTTTCTGAAAGCATCTCTTAGGCATTCGCGGTTCCAGTTCAGAAGTTACAAACTTACGAACGGCTGGTACTTCTAAAAGGCTATAAAACCGCTGGTGAATGTGCTGTATATATATTAAGAGTTGGAGGGTCGTGCTCTGAAGTTTGAGCTCGTCTGTTTCTTTCATGAAGGTGATGGTCGAATCCTCTTCACCTGCTCCTGGACTCATCTGAAGAGACTCAAATCACACAGAGACACGTTTAAAACCCCTTGATCGTTTGTTTGTTTATTATATGTATTTTATTATATATTTAGGCTATTAATTAGTGTATTTTCCATTTGGGTCACACTTTAAACTACAGTGTTGATGTTACAGCTTACACAGCAATTACTGAGAAAACTACATGTATTTACGGAGTCATTTTGTCGAGCTGCTTACATAGGATTATAGGTCTTACTATATTATTTCTTACAGTAACGCAAGTCATAACACTGTAATTTAAAGCTTTAAGTGTTATGTCAGGTGATAACCTTTGTGACCTAGACTTTTAATATGCCTAGATGGAGCCACTGAAACTCTTGATCTAATTTTCAGTCATATCTACTTTATAATAATACGTTTTATAACAATAGTAATACATAATAATATTGAAATAATATTCTCATTGATGCACTCTCTTGTGCAAAAGGCACAAAAGCTGTCACAGGGATGTTTCCTTTTTTTTTTTAAAGTACACTTTTGTACTTTATTTAGCCCTAAGAGATGCATATTAGACTTAGTACCTAAAGTTTACATATTTGTACCCAAATAGTACATTTTGAAAGGTTGCCGCCCCAGTGACAGCTTTTGCCCCTTTTTTTCTGAGAGTGCAAAGGAGTGTTTGATCAAAAAATATAACAAAATAGCATCAGAAATGCAGCTGTATTTGTATAATTTCATATCAGGCACATCTGGAAGATATGATTTAGAAGCAGAAACAGTGCATCGTAACCTGTATCATATAGTTGACGACTTTGGCAGCGTATCCTGAGAGATGTTTTCTTGTTGAAGTGCCTTGATAGTTGTGTTTGCATGCACTGAACGAAAACGTGCTGTTTAATTATAGCTGCTCTAAATAAAACAGCGCAGAAGACCTCTGAAGGAGCAAAGCAGGAGAAAATGGCCCATGGGAATATGAGTGAACGTAGCAGAGACAGCACAGGAACCCTTAACACTCATAATGGATGCTTACATCCTCAGTTCATGTGATCTCACACTCCATTTGATTACTAAGTGCGGATTTATTTCCTTGGGCTGGTTTCCCTGTTTCTTATGGCTTAATGATAGAATCCCAGCGTCAGATCTTTGTTCAGTAAATTGGCATCTGTTTTGGCCTACAGTGGAGGACAATTATTACAATTGATATTTCATAGTGCATGCACCTGTTTTTTACATTTATGCATGTTGTAGTCACTTCTCCAAAGCAACTTCAAGGCATACGTATTTTTTTTCAGTAGTTTATGTATTTCTGAAAATTGAACTTATGACTTTAGCATTAGTGCCATTCTCTACCATTACCAATATGCATATACATTTAAATATTTTTACATATATATTCTTTAAATATGTATTTAAATGTATTATTGCACACACACTCACACACACATGTATTTCATTTTTTATATAACCTACATATATGTATATTCTTTAAATAATTCTTTATGTGAAATTATTAACAGTAATATATTTTTGGGGTAAAATACAGTGTTTGGTGTATTGCATTACTAAGTAATTAATTACTGTAACTTAATTACTGTTCCCTTAAAAAGTAAGGGATTACTCTTAATTTTTCTGTAATTTAATTACCATTAAATTAATTATCATTAAATTTAATTACTATTTATTTATTTGCATTAAATATTGTATTGACTAGAACAATTATGTATATATATATATATATAACAATTTTATAAACATTTTGAATGTAACCTTTTCCCTTTAAATACTTTATATATAATATACTTCAGGTATAATACTGTATTATATATGAATTATGTATAAAGTATATATACTCTTTATATACTTTAATAAAATATTTCAACTTTTTTAGTCAGTGCTTTAATTTGATTGTTGTTATTTTGAAATTATTTCAATTTGACATTTTTATGATTTAATTATTAAAAATCAATGTGATAAACGAGTTAGGTCACACGTAATCTATAGAATTGGTACTCAAAAAGTACTCGGATTATATTGCTTTAAAATGTGTAATGTAATGGATTACATTACTAACTACATTTTTCATCATGTAATTTGGAATCAATAACGGATTACAATTAGTAAGGAATCTCCCCAGCACTGTATATATACAGTATGCTAATCGTGCTCTCTGTGTGAGCTGAGGTTGTGTGTTGAAGTGTGCTGGATGTGGGATGCGTCTCTCCAGCCTGAGTGGTGAAAGGGTTGCTGCCGGTGCTTTGCATAATGCACTGAAGAGTTTGGGCTGTACAGAGGCACCGTTGCATTAGTTTGGAGAGGTTATTGAGAGCCAGCGGTGTTGTGGGTGGAGAAATGCATCAGGTCTTTTGTGGCCCAGAACAATTGAACATGAAATAACTCTTGGACTTGTCCTTGAGCGAGTCCTCCTGTCCCCTGAGAGATGCTTTCAGCTCCATCTCTTTCCATCGCTGCGTGTCTCTGTCGACAGTTCAGCTTATCTGTCTCGCTCACTTTCACTCTGTCTCTCTTGTCCTGTCCACTTCCTATCTTATCTTCTTAATCAGAAATGATTCTCGCTTTCACAGGGCACTAAATGTTCAATTGAAGAAAGAAAAAAAGTGGCCAGAGAGAAAGCAGGGCGTACAGCACTTACCATTCAATACCTGGTTTTGTATTAAAAAAATTGGTTCCTTTGAACTGATCAGTGAGAATCTGAATAAGCCACAACCCACAGGAAATCAAATTAGAATGGCAGGAAGAGAAATGCACAGTTGAAGTGAAGAAATTCTACTTCAAATATTAACTTGAAATTCAAATTCTAATCCCTCCCTTCAGTCAATATTCAGCAAAATGATACAGGCAAGGAAAATGACTATGGACCATTCTCATGTGCTCTACCCAGAATTTGCCCAAAATATTCCCTCAGCAGGACAAAGCATTATCATTAACACAATCACACAACAGATGTATTTCATTAGTCCAACACTTTTGTGATAAAACATGAATAATTATATCATTATTTTGAGGATAATTATAACATTACTTTTCCCCAAAAAATAGAATCCTCTAAACAAAGACCAATATTGTCAAAACTTTTATTTCATGTTGATGAACTTTTATTCAAAAATGTTTACAGCACAACATGTTATGCATCATTATGTTGCAACAAACAATAAATGAATAATCACTTCAAAATGTAGCATAAAATAAAAGATTTTTGATTTTATTTTTACTATATGATATATATAAAAAAGTCCTAAATATATTAAAAATGAAATGTAAATTTTTATTTGGGGGATTTCAAACATTGATTATTAATAGTGTCTTATATGTTGTGTGCATACATAAATTGTATGGAAACTATAAAACGCTATAGCTTTTTGACTCACTCCTTTGAATTTCATCCCATTTTAATTCTACATACATAAATTCAAACTGGAATTACAATTCTGGAATGGATTTGGACTTTAAGGGTATGTTTACACTTGTAGTTCGGTTCTCTTGGTTCTTGTGGTCCAGACCAAAAAAAAAAAAATGCTGCATTTAGTCCTGGTTTGCTGGTTCACTTAGCTCACTGAACCTAAAGATAAAAAACAAAAGGCATAAGGATATGGTAACAACCTCATTGGACAGCTTTTATGAAGTATATTAAGCACATTTTCTGAGCATCCCAAACAATGCTGTGCGGGTTAAATGTACTTGTTGCATGTGTATACATATGGTGGTATTTTTACCAGCTGTTAACTCACAAAGAGCTTATAAAATGTGCAAAGGGAGTCAAAACAGAGGCAGAAATTATGCATGTACCGAACTGTAAAGGGCAACAAGAACCAGGTATGCATGAGCATTCTGGCTTTTTTAGGGTTGCATCTTGTGACATCATGTCCTGTTTTGGCTTGTTTAGTTGTCTTTTGTCTGTGTTGCATTTAAATATCAGCCAAACCGCAGCAGAATTGAAAAGGTGGATCTCAGTCTGCTGCACCAAGGATCAGATGGCAGCGTTCACACTTACTCAACTGAACTGAACTATCTCTTGGCAATCACACCAGAGTTTATTTTAATCAAGTGTAAAAACCAAGTGTAAACATGCCCTAAAAGGCATTCTCAGTTCAGTCCTGAATCTCGCACGCACAACACTGTTTAGTACACGCTGGCTCTTGCCAGAGTTTGCTCGTGTTAGTTTTCCAGCCTCAAATATTGCCAGAACTTAACTTTACTCTGTAATGTTTCATTAGAGACATTTAAACAGTGAGTCATAAGTCTATTTTTTTCACTCAGCCCACTCTCCCAGCAACAGTTCTCTGTCCTTTTTATTTTGACCCCAATAAGTGTGTATTCATGGACAGTTATGTGCTGTGTGGTGGGTGTATGTGGATGAGTTGTGTTCTGGGTCTTTGCTCAGTGTTTTTTCACCATAGCAGTGCGGTGATAGGGCAAATAACTTAGTGGGTCCTCCAATTGCGTTTATAGGCATCAAAAAAGAAAGCTTTGAATTTTAAGTGTTTTTCTCTCACAAAAATGCTTACGCTGGCGTTTCTTTGATTCAGTATGCATCCCATTTAATTTAAATGCTGCACTAGCTCCAGTACAGCTTTTATTTAACTCTCTTCACAGCTTTGGATGTTACTATGATGAAATGTATACTGACACTGGTTCACGTCAACAAACTGAATTTTATTAATCAAATAGGTTTTCTTAAAGGAATCGTTCACCCAAGATTTGAAATTTTCTGACAATTGACTAATTTCCAGGTCATCCAGGATATAGATGAGTTTGTTTCTTCATGGAAACAGAATTGGAGGATAACAATTTAG